ATCTGCAAAAATCCTGATTTGGCGTCCAATACTGAGAATATCTTAGCTTTCGGTATGTCAGATACGACATCTTCAATAGTCTTCATGGGATGATGCTCCCGTTTTATGGCACGATTCAAATCTCTTGGGTCTATACAGGTGCGTATCTTTTCTCCCTTTACACTCACTACCATTGAGCTGACCCACTCTGTTGGCCTGTCCACTTTCGTGATGTATCCATTAGTCTCTCAGCTTGTCAACTGCCCTGGGCTTGATTGCTGCTGGGAGTTTCCTTACAGGATGAATAACTGCTGGTACAGATTCGTCTATACTGAGGTGGTACTCTCCGGGTAGTGTTCCTGTAGTTTCTATGAGTTCTGGATAGTCTCTGGATAGTTCACTTTGTGCACTTTCTGTAGTCTCAGTCACAGCTGATATCCTAGTCTGCGAATCAGGGTCGGCTTTGTATATCAATCCAAGAGCGACTGCAGTATCACCACTGATGATATTCTCTTGATCTAAGTCGACCACTTCAAAGTGAACATTGGTTTTACGATCACGGTAGAAAACCGAAAGAGTTACTGATCCTATTGGTTTGATCTTATGATTGCTGAATGACTTAAGAGTCTTGTTAGAATTCTCGAGTTTGCATCCTCCCAAGTTTCTAATTTGAGCAGATGTGAGTATGTTAGTCCGTGCTCCAGTGTCTATCCTGCAGCGAACCTGCTGATCTTTGATACGGAGATGAACATCCCAGTTGTCATCCTGAGCAGACTTGACGGAAGTACACATACTAATGGTAAGTAGTTCTTCTCCCTCTGACTCTGTATCTCCCTGTACTGTGCTGACTTTGACCTGTTTCAGCCGACGACGACACACTTTCTTCCAGTGGTTTCGCTGTTTACAGTAACTGCAAATAGTTCCTAGTGCTGGGCACTTTCCACGTTCATGTTCCAGACCACAACTTGAACAATTTGGGTTGTCGATTTGTTTAGAGTGTTTTGGTTTTCCGGTTTTAACACTTTTGTTGCGTGCCGCATAGATCTTGGTGGGGTGTTTCTTATGTGAATGAGAGTCTATTTTCAGTACTTCCTCTCCTCTCATTAATTTGACTTGTGCTTGTGACAGTTCAAACTGTTGTCCAATTTCTATGGCCTTCTTAAGTGTGATATCCTGGCCTTGTTCTAACATCCTCTCTTGCACTTTCTTATGTCTGACGCCACTAATGATCAAGTCAATCAAAACGTCATCATTATCCGCGTAATCACAGTCCATAGCTAAGATTTTGAGATCCTTAACAAAGTTATCAAAAGTTTCGGCCTCTTTTTGTGTTCTTTGATGAAGTCTGTATCTTGCCATTCGCTTGTTTTTCTTGGGGCGAACGTAGTTTTCTAATTTCTCCAGAATTTTCTTTGGATCGTCTTCATCGTCATTTTCAAACACAAAAGTTTTGTACACTTCCCTACCTTCTTGTCCAATCCACATGCCGATCCATCCTGCCTTATGTTTGGCATCGGATTTCGCGAGTGGCCCTTTGAAGATGAAACCCACGTGTTGCTTGAACCGACAAAATTCCTGGTACAGATCTCCGGCTTGCCAGTCGAATCTAGGCTGATCGAACAGAAGCGTTGTCAGTTTGAGTTTCTTCTGACACCATGTGATATTCTGGTAATATAAGGTATGAACAAACACCGTTGGGTGTATCAAACAGAATTTATTCCAGACAGGAAAATTCAGACATGGCGGGTAAAAATACAGAGATGACAGGGACAGATAACCCTATTTGCATTATTAGATAAGTCGTGCCATTGCTAGATAAGTCGTACAACAAACATAGATAGAAGTACATTACAGGTAAGTCTTCTGTCTTCATAAACATTGTACAAATCATCATATTCTACTGCGAAGGAATTTCCAAGATATACGTTAAACTTTACAGCCGTTCGTTGCTCGAGTATAACTGAGTCAACCATTTTTTGTTACAAGTCACCTACATATTGACGTCATTTTTATATTGTGACGTCACAAACACGGAACAAAACATTATATAACATCTGCTATTTAGAGAACATGTGTATGGCTATATGTGTGTCAAATTTCATTTTGATCTGAATTGTGGTTTTGTAAATATAGAGATACAGTAAACTTCTTTTATAACGTACTCGGTTATAAAGTATCTCCGGATGTAAAGTAGCCATTCCGTAGTCCCGGCAAAGTGTCTATATATTTCATTTGAAAAAAACACCGCTTACAACGTATTTGTATATAACGTAGTATCGCTTATAAAGTATTAGAAATTTGGTCCAGTTACACAATTACACCTCTTATAAGGTATTTTGAAACCTGCATGGTTTCACACCTTTTCTATCAGCCCAGGGACTGTGGATTAGTCACGGTTTGTAGACTTCATAGCTTCTCCGTAATTGAGTGTTTTTACAAATGAGGTTTCTTTGTTGTTTCAGGTAGATGCATGTATTTATAATAAACTGTTTGAATAAAGTTCATCGATTAGATGTATTCATAATAATTTTTTTGAATAAAAAATCATCTTTGAGTCAGTAAATAGCAGTATAACCGAAAATGATATAATTAAACAAGTGAAAGGAAAATACAGGGATTCCATATCAGTAGACCGCGACAACAGCGAGGACGACGAGGCCATGCCTGACATGTGCATACCATCTACCCAGACGATCAAAGGGCATTAGTCCGAAGTTTTCACGACTCTGGCAACTCCGGAGACTTTTGTAAATAAATGTCCAAACAGACAAACATTACGGACTTTTTATATGATCTGACGATAAATAAATAAAATGTTACTGAATATTAATCTTTCTTAATATAAGGAACGAAACCAAATATACTTGTAAATCGTTTACAATGTATACATACTTTAAAATATAAAAAACACACTAGCAGTTTGAAAACTGTTTACGGTAAAGGTGTACTGAGTACTTCCGGTCTCCGTTTATAACGTACACCGGTTATGACGTAGGATTTATCACAGTCCTCTGAGATACGTTATAAAAGATGTTTACTGTAGTTCGCGAACTTTTTGATCACCCCTCGTACAGTCATAGATATACAAAATGTACACTGTAGTAAATGTTACTTTTTAGAGATTATAGCGATCCATGCAATGGATTTAGGCATAGTCAAGTTTACATATATTTTCCTCGATATATTCACTAAGCCAGTTATCGTTACCGTTTTGGCGATTACAGCCTTCCATAAAGTAGATTTATTTAAAATCAGAAATTTTCTTTCCTCTATATTAACACATTTCGTATTTTTCATTAAAAAACAATCCATACTTAATAACAACATATAGTTTAAGGGTTTGGTTTTGTGTGCAGCCAAGTGAGACTCACTAAAAATAAAAACCTTAATATCTCAAAAATTAAGCCTTGCTAACACTTGAAAACTGGTCCATGTCATCTTCATAATGAAAACAATCTCTGGGTATATGCAGTTTAATTGACACTTGCAGCAATTTGCAGCTATGAAGTGCACAATACACCTGCAGGACTGTGCAGCCACAGGTTTTAGTAGTGCACCAAAAAATCCAAAAAAATATGAAATAGTTAAAACAATTAAGTGGCTACAACTATTTGTGAAGAACCTTTGATTTAAAAGTAAACTCACTACAATAGGTACATTTCTTTAAATGCATACTTGTTAGTTAAACAAGAAAATGTTAGCCATGAAAGTAGTCCCAACCACATGGCAATGTGTTAAAAATAGAATTAAAGACACTCACTTTTGATCTAAAAATAGCACTTTATATGAAAGCCCAGATGTATCTAAAATATTACTCTATGGTGTGTACAAAACACAGGGAAATTAATGTTAGAAAAATGATTTTCTCCTTAAAAAGTATGCCAAATAAGATGTTAAAAATCTGCAGGGATAATGGAAGTGGGCAATTTAAATAAGAGGCCTGGCCCACAACATTCACTTGAGTCACCTTGGTGTTCTTCAGATTTCTAAGACATTCTTATCCCCCTTAATTCTCATAAAAACAAATCTGAGATAATATTGTGGCCCCACCCTGGGCCATAAGGCCATGTCTAATCCAAAACTGATTCCACAACATGAGGATATTTCATTATCAATATGGCTAACATGGCTTATATGTTTTCTAAAGTTTTTTTTTTTCACATTTATACATGCATTTACCAATTTATATGTAAAATCTGATCTCAGATTTATTTGAAGAAAAAAAATGAAAAAAATACAAATAGGGAATATTTTAATATTATTATAATAATAAGTCAGGCAAATGATTTTTACCAACTTGAATCTTCACTTCTTGAGGATGCTTGCATACATTATGAGTAAATCATTACCTTGTTGTTCATTAAAGGACAATTTTTTCCTATCTATTCCCATGTAAAACTTTGATACCCCTATTTTAGGGTTTAATTTTTATGGATGACAAATGGACAGACACCAGAGACTCTTTGATCAGAAAAGTTCAACAGAGCCTCTGCTCAGATGAGCTAAAATGTAAATGTCTTTGATTATTGTAGAAAAAGTCACCTAGAAGAACAAAAGAAAAGGATGATAAATGAACTTTTTTTTTATTCTTAATCACTTCCAGGATATTATATTTCTTTTAACATGTTAACCAGTATATGCAAGTTTGACTATTTTTTGTGAAACTTTCTTTAAAGATATAAGGTATAATTTTATAAATAAGCTTCAATTCTAACAATATAACTCTAATATAACTCTCTAAGATATTTGAGACCTGTGTTCTTAGCATGGGTTTGCACTAAACAATATGAATAAATTAGATAAAACACTAAAACACTAAACACAATAATATCCTGTATCAAGATCCCAAAATGTTCTTCATTGTAAACTCGTGGAAAGTTCAAATATGTATTTTTGTTTGGTCATCATATGTTCTTTTTCCAATGATGTTTGGAAAGTTCAAAGCATTTGTTCATACAACCATGGAATCAAAAATATTAACTTTCTTTAGTCATATCATATGAAACTAAATCATAGTCTTCACATGTTGCTGATATTTTCTCCAACACTGCTTTCCAAAAGATTAACTGTTGAGACAAACCAAGATGGACCAAAACCTCTGTCATTTGAATGATCTCCTTAACTTTGAAATCTGTAAAATATTAAATATAAGTAATTTATAATATACCACTAAAAAAACAATACTGTTGATCACTCTCAAAGAGGGAACTTGAATTGAAAGTTAAATCTTTACATCATGACTAAGTAAAAAGCATACAAAGACAGACATGTAAATTTCAGGGTCAAAGGCTACACATCCCTCAGCAATGATGGTCACATTGTAAATGTTGGTTGACACTGATTGTTGGACTGAATATATCTTATTTTAATTTACAAATAGTGTAGATCAGAGTAGTTTAATCCATATAGAGATATATGAGTCTAATCTGTATACAAAGAGATCAACCATAAATAAGATCAATTAAGGTAAACCCAAGTGATGGTCATTTCATCTTGCCTTGGGAAGTAGATGAGACAAGCATATAAGATCATAATTAAATAAAGCAAACAAGTACAAAATCTGAAGGTTAAATAACAAGTAAGGATTTGATGGCAGAATTTTAAAAACCTGATATGATGACATGTGTGTTAGTAAGCTACAAGAAGATGATCAGAAACAGTTCCTTTCAAAAGAGATTGAAGTTTTCAATTATTTAAAAATAACCTCTGATGTGACTTCTTTTTTCAGTCACTGTTTACCTAACATTTGTTTTTTTTTTTGGGGTTATAACGTGACATCACACATAAGGTTTGATTATTCATGATAACAATACTTAATTCGCTCAAGCAGCCTCGGGTAGGAGAGAGCTGTAGGCGGACTCCAACCATGGCTTGAGACAATGTGATGGACACATACACAACATTCACTCAAACAAAATCTTTCTTTTCATCCAACCGCATATATATTTCTCATCATAAAAATTGTACATTCTTTTATTCTGTACACATAGAATAACATCTGAATCCAATCATACCAAATGAAATGACTAGTCAGCTCACTGTGATTATAACACCTACCTTATACCCTTATACACATGTCTATTAAATTTACAGAATCATTTCAATGGGATATAAAACTCACCTTACAGGGGAGGTTTTTGGGAGGGCTCCAACACAGGTATCACATGATTATGAAATGCAGAAATTGACAGTCCAGAGAAAATATCTGAACAGTGTTCTTTTTTGTGAAACAAGGCATTCTGTAAACATGGTAAACATAATTATAATAAATTTTAGGAAAAAAGTTCAAAAACAATTCTTTTAAATCTAGATATTAATATTAATCTTTGTTGAACATGTTGGAGGGTGTCAGTGTTTTAACTGAATGGTATTTATTTCCTGAAACTGTGTCCGTTAAAACTTTTGTTCTATGAGACATTATAAGAATAGAGTTTTGCTTCCATCTCTCAAAATTATGTGAATTTGAATATTGTTTGTTATCTTCATATTTCATTTATAGTCTCTTCCATTTTTTTCTTTAAGCATTTTAACCTCAATATGTCAAACTATACCAGATTTCTTCATTTTTTTTATTGGTCCCATCAGGATAGAAATACAATGTAACAAGGTTTGCCTGTACCATTAAAATGCAGGTCCTCCCAAAAAAATAATAATAATAACCTTTGAGATAAAGTGGTGGCTACATGTACATTCATTTTTTTTTCAATTTTATAGAAAAAATCTTAGAGGTTTCTACAAGAATATTATGGTATTTATGGATCAATACCAAGGTTTACCCCCCACCCCACCCCCAGCACCTTATCTCTTCCTTACAAGTGCAACCAACAACCTAAGTCTAATTGAGCATATGAAAAACTTTCATAAAATGAACATTCAATTAAAAATAAACATGCTTGGTAGCATTTGATTCAGCATGCTCAATGGTAACTTAAGATCAGGTAAGACCCCCTTATTATACTCCCTTTTTGATGAAACCAATGCCGTTGCAGAAATTCAAGTTTTCAATCTTAACCATTTCAACTAGAGAATATTAATTATTAACACTTTATGCAATTTTCATCTTTAAAAAAACCTATTTTTCAATTTTGCTGCAGTCTCTTCATTTGATGAACATTGAACAATTTACATATCAAGTAATAAGCAAATTAAGTTGACATCCTTGAAAATTTTTATCGTTTAATTTACTTTTCCCCATTAGAACTACATATATATATATACTGCACTAATCTGCAAATCAGAAGGACCAAGTCCAAAATGATGGTTTGTATACATAGTACAAACTTATGTGAAAATTATTTATATAAATAATCAATAATACTTGCATCTCTTTTACAAAAAGTAAAACAAAAAAGCAATAAAATTTGAATATCAAAATTTTGATTTACAAATAACACATCTGATTTACCATATATGTGTACTACGTAGAGCCACTTCACTTAGCCGTCATTGGACATTTAACTTGGTGTGTCTGAGGCTCAATGAAGGATCTTACACAAAAATCGCTCATTAATGAAAACAAAATTCAGTTCTTTACTCTGCTCATAATATTTGAAACCCTGTTTTTGACTGAACTATATTTTTATACAATGACGAATACTTTTAGTATTTTGAAACATAGAAACATTCATTAGAGGAACCTTAAATATTGCCCGCTACCAAATTGTGGTCTGCAAGAAACACGTGGAAATTCTCAGATCCTTTGTATAACGTTTAATCTTTTTAAAATTGATGTGCATTAGATCGCAGGCGTTGTCATACTCAAAATGTATTACTGATACTAGGAGTTATATCGTATTTCTGAGATAAGGCTCATAAATCACAATAAACACAACAAATCGACTTACCAGCTCCTACTTTCACTTTAGCCGAATATCGCATGACAGACCTCAGAAATAAACTACGCTGAGTGATTATAGTTCTTAATTTTCGTGCAATATTTTTCAATATTATATGACATTGTCCTACATTTGTAGGATTAATATGCTTATTTGATAAAAGGTAATTAACAGCCTTACCTGCAAAAGAAATAACAGACGTTAAATTCAGTCGGAACTGCTAAAACTGGGCGCGTATTAATTTATCTGTCCATTGTAAAATCGAAGACGGAGCATTCCCTGATATGACGTAAACATCGATGTTACTTTTATAATAAACAATATTAAACATTTAGATCGAAACATTCTAATAGCTGGAAATGTTTAACGAAATATCTCTCTAATTGCTTTGTGTAATCGAGGTACTAGAGACATCAGATTACAGAAATAGTCAGTTAGTTTCAATACCGGAATGGCAGCCCCCCGATTTCGCATGGCGGACATGCCTAGTTGATGAAAAACAGACAGTTTTGGAAAAAGTAAGCACAGTATTGTTAGGAACGAAACAAATAGTTGTACCCATGACGTTCAACTATCTGCACATATACAACAAATGTCATGTTATTGTTTTGTTAGACCTGTAGCTGTGCAGTCCTGCAAGTGTAATATGCACATTATTGCTGCATGACACTGCAAGTGACAATCAAACTGCATACATATCAAGACAGCTTTCCAATGGAAGGTGTCATAGGTCAGTTTTCAAGAGTAAGCAAGAAGTATTTATTAAAATATTGAGAGTTTTATTTCGTACGCGTTTCACTTGGATGAACACAAAACCAAACCCTTAATACGTTGAACAATCCGGAAAATCTTGCTCTGACATTCCGTTTTTGATATTAGTGAGCAGGTACAGTCATAATTGTCCGGTACCAGCATTGCCGAGTACAGTTGCAGATGATAGCTGACAGCCACTGTTGGATTACTCATTCACTTCAATAAAGTATAATACAACTTTATGTAGACTCTTGCCAAGTAAGCTCTGATCTCTATGAATTTACCTGACAAAACTCCATCAATAGTGAAACAGGACACCACAGTATATGCATACTAAATAGAACTGGCCCTTTGCTACTTAAATAATCTGGTGCTTCAACCCGTTGGGTTGATGGCGTTCTTTATGCACCACTTTTGTTTCCAATAAAGTTTGATGTTGTATTATATCGCATTATCGCATCTGTATGTTGTAACAATATTGTGGCTGGGAGACCACTGTTGTGTAATCATTTATTGACTTGCATTTCTAGTCAAGAAATAGTTTATATATCAACAAGCTTTCCTTGATGCTGGTATGTCTCACAGCCAAATTGTTTTGTAACTGTTTAATGGATTTCATTTTTTTTTTACACTTAACATGTTTTCTGTTATAAATATTAGAAACAAACAGAGCTGCTATGTTGCCTTGGATTACCAGTAAGGTTTTAACATAAATAATCTTTATATCAATCTTTTATATTGCTTTCCAAGCAAAAATCCTACTTTGAGCTTGCTTTGTTTATTTAAACCAAACATTCATTTTAATTTTGTTTCTATATTTATAACACTTTTTTGTTTTCTCATTCAATCAAACAACCTGATAATTAAATTAAATACAAGGATTTCTTGATTGAACAAAATTTAGCAAGGGGGAGGAACTCTTATATGCGTCACATATCACAATTTTATACTCTGCTTGCCTCCTAGATACACAGGAGCAGAGAAAAGGCACATTTACTTATATTTATATTTCAAAATTTACATTTTATATTATTGCATTTAGTATGTTTGCTTCATACTCAGGGGCAGAGGAGAAGATTTTCGAAGTATTCATGCATTTTTGCTGTATACTCAATAGAGCCCCGCCCAAATACCAGAACTTCTGATCCAGGGGCCATGAAATTTACAATTTTGGAAGTGGCATCCTTCCTAAAATATGCATTTATTTTGTTTGCTTAATACCCAGAAGCAGAGGAGAAGGTTTTCAAAGCATTAATTTATTTTCAGCATGTATTTAATAAGCCCCCCTCCCCCAAACCCCTGACCCCGGGGCCACATCTTTTACAATTTTGGAAGAGACACCCTTCCTCATCATAACTATATACTTAATTGCATAACGTAATACTCAGGAGCAGAGGAGAAGATTTTAAAAGAATTAATGCATTTCACTGTATAATTATAGTTTTACAGAAATTTTATACAGCGCCGCCCTAACACCAGAACCCCTAACCCAGGGGCCATGAAATTCACAATTTTGGAAGAGGCACCCTTCCTCATCATAACTTTGTACTTAATACATCGGCTTAAAACATGGAATAAGTGACTTGTACCATAGTTTAGTAAAATTGATCATATTTATAACTCGTTTACATGTAGTACATGTAGTACAAATTTTAAATGGCATGTGTTATTGAAAAATATGCTTGTTTTCAATGAGATATCAGTGGCGAATTTTAAGGGGGGGGCGCACCCGGCGCCCCTCCCTAAAACTGTCAAAGTTTGCGTAAATCATAGTTTCGTCGAGAAAATGTAAAAATGTCTACTCGGTAGACCTCGTTTTTACCCTACAAAAACTCTACAATCCAGGACCCCCATCTGGGCTTCGCCCTGGACCCACTGGGGGCCTCAAAGCGGCCCTCAGACCCCCTGCCTACTTTTGCCCTAACAAAAAAATACTATAGTTAACTATAGTTTACTATAGTTAACTATAGTTTACTATAGTTAACTATAGTGATAACTTTGACACCATAAAAACTTTGATTTACTATAGTGTTAACTTTGACACTTTGATTTACTATAGTGATAACTTTGACTCTTTGGTTTACTTAAGTGATAACTATGAAAACTTCGATTAACTATAGAGATCACTATGAAAACTTTGATTTACTATGGTGAAAACTTTGATTTACTATAGTTATAACTTTGACACTTTAGTGATCACTTTGAAAACTTTGATTTACTATAGTGATCACTATGACACTATAGTGATCACTTTGAAAACTTTGATTTACTATAGTGATCACTATGACACTATAGTGATCACTTTGAAAACTTTGATTTACTATAGTGATCACTATGACACTTTAGTGATCACTTTGAAAACTTTGATTTACTATAGTGATCACTATGACACTATAGTGATCACTTTGAAAACTTTGATTTACTATAGTGATCACTATGACACTTTGATTCACTATAGTTAACTATAGTATTTTTTTGTTAGGGTGGCGCCCCCTCTTACTTCAATTCCTGGATCTGCGCCTGGATATGTTGATTTAATTGTATTTTTCGTATATTTAAAATAACAAAATCAAATAATTCAACTTTTAAAAAACTTACTTATTTCCTTTATTTTCCTGTTACTTTTTACCTATCCTCCTCGTGCATGGTAATACATACATCGCCTTCGTGTTTATGATTTAAAAATTTAATAATGTAAAGGAATTTGTATATATAGAATAGATGCAATCAAACTCAATTATTCAGTTCGTTTTCGATTTTATGTACCAAATTTTCTTGGTTGGTTATCAATAGAACGATATTGGAATCATTTAAGAAATAGCAACGATATCAATACCAATTTTAAGGTAATGTCTCGCAGGTCATGAGAATATTTTAGAAAAAATGAACAAAAATAACAAAAATAATCAAGCGATTTCCACAGGTACTTGTGGACAGGAACCCCCCCCCCCCTCCAATATGCCCCACAGGTCAAAAAATATTTTTATGTATTTTTTTCATAAATTATTCTTCTAGTACACATTTACAATGTATTCCATAAGAAAAATCCAAAAAATAACGCAGAATTAACGTTTTACTAAAAAAATCATACCCGCGGTATTATAAAATAGAGAACGTGTCACTTACATTTGTTTACACTGGACCCCTCTTGGATATCAGGCCCGAAATATCATTTACCTAATACATGTCACCGAAATGTGTCATGATATCTTGTTTTGGTAGATATTTTTGTCTTTAGTCGTGCTATTTAATTGCCCAGGCATCCCATAATAATCCGAGTATTCATCGTCAAACGTGAAAAATGCTACAAGATTTGGAAATGTCAGAGTAGAAATTACGGAAGTGATGCAAAAACGGCACCTAGCGTGTAACTCTCGAGTTCCGAGTGTTATAGAACTAAGGGAAAAGTCAGAGGTCTACGAAAAAGTTCGGGAAAATTTTGATAAAGAACTCGAAATTGATTCATTAGAATTAAATTCTGCTTAAGATTTTCGAGATGAGCGAGGGTAGTCGTCAATATTCCCTTTAAAGGATGTTATCATTGATACCAAGTAGCGGTTTAAAAATCGCTTAAACATTATAAACTTGACATGTAACACCCCCCCCCCACTCCACCCCGACCGCCTTCCCCATCTGCGTGGACATGGAATTTTCATTAAATTGTGTCCGCGGAAAGGTGGATATCCGTTAAACTAATGTGGTAGTAAATATAATATTTAGAATGATAAACTAGTTTTAAAAATAAGTAAAGAGAAATGTGATTATTTAAAACTGTACAAAAAAATCTCTTTTTTTTCCCCATTTGTTATGAATTCGCTACATGTATTTAATCAATATTGATTAATTTGGGGACGGGGGCTGTGCAACGTCATTAAAAGTTACAGTGTTGGAGAAAAACAAATTGACCGGTTGATGAATGGTTGTACAACCCATGCAATATTTAAACGTCAATTGCTACGTAATACAAGTTGCAATTATCTAACTATGACTGTTAGAAAAGACGTACCTAAAGAACTTTTTTAAAAGTCTTTATTTTATAGAAGTTAAGCTTCCGTTTGTTCAATTAAAATAATATCAGCTTGATATATATGTAATCAAGGCCAGAAATAAACTCAGCAGTGCCACGCGAAAGTAAACAAGAGCTTGAAAATTATTTTTTTTAAAAAAAGGGGGGTTCTGATTTTCATTCTTAAGAATTAATTTTGAAAAGACTCACATTTAAATTCCTTGGCAAATGATAATCATCGCATAAGAATATTAAAAAATACACATAATTATTAAGCTTAATATTATCGGAATTAATTGCAAGCATGTCCATGTAGAAGGGGAAGGGGGGTTACATGTCTTGTAAGTTGTAAATAAATGTGAATAAATGGAAAAGTGAAAGTGTGAAAGTGAAGAGTTTAGGTAATACTTCTCACAAGTACTTGTGGACAGGAACTCCCCCCCCCCCTCCAATATGCCCCACAGGTCAAAAAATATTTTTATGTATTTTTTTCATAAATTATTCTTCTAGTACACATTTACAATGTATTCCATAAGAAAAATCCAAAAAATAACGCAGAATTAACGTTTTACTAAAAAATCATACCCG